CTTCCCACTGCAGCCCCCAACACCACTGCCCCTGCAACTCCTGAGCCTACTGCCACTACTCCTGTTATTACCACCACCCTTCCCACCCCAGCCCCCAACACCACTGCCCCTGCAACTCCTGAACCTACTGCCACTACTCCTGTTATCCCTACCATCAGCCTTCCTACTCTAGCCCCCAACACCACTGTCCTTGTCGACCTCTTGACGCCGACTACCCCCAACGTCACCACGCCTGCGGTTACCCCTGCCGTCACAAACAGCACCGACCCCACATTGAAGCCACTGACAACCATCGCCGTCACCACGGACTTGCCCATCGTGACCAAGAAAGTGGAGGACAATGTCACGGGCACCACGTTTGAGATCTTGAACGGCACCAAAGCCCCCGTGACCACAGTGGGCTCGGACGACCTAATAGACTTGACCCCTTCCCCGTCCAAGCTGAACCCGTCCAATCCCGCGCCAGGGGGCGGCAGCGATGCGCCGGAAGCCCCGGCACCAGCTCGCCCGATCTCGGCTGCTCGCACCGCCGCCCCTCCCGGCGGCGGCCTCGCGGGACCCTCCGACATCGTTCCATCCGAAGCAGCCGTGTCCGGCGCTGACACCCCCGGCGACAAGACTAACCGGTACGTGTTCAACGCCGTGGCGGGTCTCACGCTGGTCTTCCTCGCGTTCTTCCACTACTTGGCCATCGACCCTTCGTTCCTCGCGCCCGAGTCCGTGGCCGGGGCGTTGGTCGCCCCCAACTCGTGGGAACTCCCGTCCTTCGCCACGTTCATGCAAATGGTGGCCGTCGTGTCCTGCGCCAACGTAGACACCCCCCACGCAATCTTTGTGTCGTTCACCGACTCGTTTTCATGGATCAATTTTATCGTGCGCGGGTCCGCGTACACGGCCAAGTCGCCGGTCGTGGCGTCCAGCCTGGTACTTCTGTCGACCCCGTCCCACCGCCGCGCCCTCACCGCCGACGTCCAAGTGTCCGCCACCTCGTACGACGCGTTCGGGTTCTTCCAGTTTGCGCTACGCTCCAACGTGTTTGAGTTTGACTTGTTTGTGCGCGCGTGGACGTTCTTCTTCATTGCCGTTATGATTCTCCTTGTGCTTGTGATTACGACCGCGGTCGTGTCGCAGATCTCGGGCCGTCGGACGCCGTTCACCCAGTCCGACTCGGGCAGCTACACGTCCACACTCAAAGAAGCCAGTCGTCGCATGCAAGGGTTCACGGTCTGGTTTATCACCATGGCGGTGCTTCCGCTCTCGACCGTGTCCATGTACGAGTTGATGCGCGACATCACGTCAGCTGCAGGATTTGGCTCGATCACGGGCATCTTTGCGCTCCTGGCACTGGTGGTGCTGGGCGGGGGCATCGTAGCCGCCGGCTACGTCGTCCTCCGCCAGTCGGAAGTCCAATTGAGCAAGTACCGCACCAAGATTACGTTTGGGGTGTTGTACACCAACTTGAAGTTTGAATTCCGGTCGTTCTTTGCCGTGTCGCTGCTGGTTCAGTATGCCACGGGGGTGCTATTGGCGGGGGTGGTGGCGCCGTCTATCCAGATGGTGTTGCTCATTGCGTTGCACGGGGTGTACGTGGCGTTGCTGGTGTTGCTCCGGCCGTTCGTGACGACGTGGCAGCTTGTGTTCACGTTCGTGTTTGAAGCTGTGTTGGTAGCCGTGTTCGGGTTGGTGTATGCGATGGCGTACACGACCAGCACCGACTCCAAGCAAACGTATGCGTATGTCGTGGTGGTGCTCGTGTGTGTGGTGATCGTCCTCATGTTTGTGCGAAGTCTTGTCAAGCTCTGGACGTTCGTTACCGGTGCAGGGGGCGCCCATGATGACGTCAACTCGACCCGAACCCAGTGCACGATCCCACAGCTGCACTCGGCCGAGTTCAACAGCAACCGCGGGGTCGACACCATCTCGCTCAACAGTGGCAGCCTCCCTAGCGACCACTACATGGCCCTCACGACCCCATCCAGGACGGTCAAGCTCGTCAATACGAGCGCCAAGCGATTTTAAATGGGATTTGTCGTATTCTTTTTGGGCTGTCAGTCGTTCTTTAGCCAAGTGCATGCAGCAGACTGTACTGGTAACCCTGCGTGGCCTTGCTGGGGCCATCTACTGTAGTATGTAGCGTACGCCACCATTTGTATGCAAGGCACGTTGATCGTGCTACCTTCAAAACGTTAGAAATGTCCAAGTGAAGTGCTAGGTGTCAACAACACTAGAAGTGGATAGGTAAATAGACACTGGTACTTGAAGCGCTACAATGTATCTTGCTAGCCATACAATACAGTATTGCTGGAATGAAACGGCAGGCGGTTTCATGGGGCATATACGAGGCACAATCTGATTTACAGTTACATTTTTAGTATATACGCCACGGATTTCCAGTATTTACGCCACAGATTTCCAGTCGTCGTCGCTTCTGAACGCTGCGACGACTCGTTGCTTTGCGGAGGGAGTATGGGTTTGTAGGGGGCTTGTGGCTACAGAGGGGGTTATAGTAGTACTGTTAAGTACTTCGAGGTACAGTAGTACTACGTAGTAGTTGCTGTTGTGGTTATGAAGGTTAGTTTCATACATGTAGTGCCACACCAATGGTACAATCGGAGCTTGTTAACGATCGTCATGCATTGAATAGACCACATGTATACATTTATCATACGACTGATAATTCGAATCACGCGCTGCTTGAGTACACGGAGTACGCTTTTTCTGTCGTGGTTCTGCAAGTGGCACAGAAACTAACACTTATGAATGGTAGAGTAACAAATTTGGCTCCGTCGGGACTTCGGCAATGCACGATACGCTTTGGATTGGCTGCTGTAACGGTTTGCATGACCTTGACGAGCATTGCCATCGCCGAACACGACGGCCACCGATACATATCATGATCTACGCCAAGGTCCGTTCAATCAAGGCCGAGGCCTGACACGCAATGTCATCGAGTCACGTACACCTTCTCCCAACACCCTCACTACTGTACTGTAATACAGTACCCACCACGACGACACTGCTCCCACGAACGCTCGTGGTGCTGGTGGTTCTGTCCTCCGCGCCGGTCGGAAGTCCAATTGAGCAAGTGCCGCACCAAGATTACGTTTGGGGTGTTGTACACCAACTTGAAGTTTGAATTCCGGTCGTTCTTTGCCGTGTCGTTGCTGGTTCAGGATGTCACGGCGATGTCAATTCGGCTTATATGGTGTTGCTCATTGCGTTGCACGTGGTGTATGTGGCGTTACTGGTGTTGCTCCGGCCGTTCGTGATGACGTCGCCGCTCGTATTCACGTATGTGTTTGAAGCTGTGTTGGTAGCCGTGTTCGTGTTGGTGTAGGCGATGACGTAGACCACCAGCACCGACTCCAAGCAAACGTTTGCGTACGTGACCACTCCATCTACAGCCAAGACGCGGCTCCTCCTCGTCTCCAGTTGATCGTTCACAGCAACCGCGGAGCTGACGCAATGGACACGAACTCGCTCCATAGTGGCAGCGACGTTCGACACCCCCGCCAACACTGTCAAGCTTGTAGACACGGATTCACTGGAGATTTTAGTCGAGTAACCGTGGAACGAGGGGTAGTTATTGCAACCAGCGCATGTTACGGCATACTACCCTTTACTACACACTAAGCAGCGGCGATGTGTCAGTGGGAAACACGATTTCGTAGTAGCTCTTGCCCTCGTACTTGTTGGCGAGGGTTCCGAGTTGGTTGTACGCGAGGACGCACATGACGACGCTGATGAGCATGTTGGACCCGTCGTCGATGAGGTAGATGTAGTCTAGAGCAACTTCGTTGTACATGAGCACCCCAATGACAAGGGCCACCGCCGACGAGACCACGTTGTCCACGGCCTCGGCAAAGATTGGCATGAGCTTGAATCGCTTGGGGCCGGTGCGTTTCTTCTTTGGGTGCCGCCGCTTCCTGTGAGCCTTCTCCGCGTCGCTAATGAATAGCTTGATCACGTCGTCTTCGTCCACAAACACAAGCGCAATAGCGATGGCGGCGATCATGGCGATCGCAGACGTGATGATCAGTGGTCCTGCGTGAGTTCGGGGCTCGGGGGTGTAGAGATCCCCGAGTTGGTCCATGAATATGACGACCCGAAACATGATCACTGTGCTCCACTGACAAAGAAGCATCATGTCCATTTGTAGGTAGGTCAGTTTCCCGTCAAGGTCGAACTTGAGGAACACGACGACCAGCACCATCACGAACCCGTCTACGATGCTGTCGACCGCATCCGCGAACATTGCGTTCACGTTGGACGCGAGGAACATGCCCATCTTGAGCACCACGAGCAGCGTGTTGATCGTGATGCCAGCCACCACCGTCGCGCGACCGCTCTTGATCACCGCCATCCTCTAATGCCCTTGATGGATCGATAGATCGATGGAATCACTTGAACTCATTTCCGTACAGATATTTTAGCACTAGCCACGACCTGACAATGGTGAGTACTTTGACATGCAATTCTGGTGAGGCATTGATATTGTCCTGCGATTGGCGGGTGCGATGCCGCGCTGTGATTGGGTAAAATTTCCAGCTCTAAACGAATGGTCCCGTTCTGCACCGTCGCCGAAACGGCATCAAACAATTGTTTGCTGTCATGGACGTCTTCTCGGAACTCCGCCGCCACGCCGGTGGCAACCATCCCCAGAAAGTCAAGGTACCACGTAACATGCATTGCTTGCATGCTGTTGCCTATTATATGACGTCATCATGACGTTACACCTGTACTTGCGTAGCTCAATGTTGTCTTGGCAGCCATCACAGACGTGATCCACGATCGCCGTGGACCAGGTCAGCGCGAAGATCACCCCATCTCCAACACAGAATACTTTGCCGCGCTCATGACAGCACTCGAGTCCAACGACAGCAGCTCGCATGCCCAGGAGATCATGCAACTGCTGACGATGGTGCTGCCCGAAGTGCACGACGCCGTGCTGCGCACGAAATTCGATGCCGTTGCCCACGCTATGATCCGCATCATGCAGGTACTACCGCAGCCAGTGTAATAGCCACCAACCACACAACTTGGCTTTCCAGCTCGCTTACCACGTTCTTGGTGTAGTCGAACGAAGAAGACATTTCACTGCTTCGGTCGAGCCTCGTAGCGTTAGGCATGGTCATTCAAGCACAAGAACCCAGCGCAAGCGTGTGGAATCACCCCACGACGCTCAAGTACTTTCACGTGCTGCTAGCGTTGGCGGCGGACCCGCGGCCCAAGATCCGCAAGGCGGCGCAGTCGTCCATCGTCAAGATCCTCGAAGTACATGCCGACGCCCACTGCGACACGCTGTCCACGCATATTGCCTCGTTCGCCGAGAACATCCTCGCGTCCGCGGTGGCCAAGGACCAGACCAAGGTGCTGCAACTCGTGGGCTTTCTCGGGTCGGTGCTGCCGCTCCTGCCTGGCAAAGTGGTGACTAGTTTGACCGAGGCCCTGCTCAAGCTGCTTCAGACCAACCAAAAGACGCTGGCGTTGGTGACGCTCGAAGCGTTCGACGCAGTCGTCGTGTCGCCGTCGTCGCGCTTGTCGGCCGAATGTCTCACCTCCCTGCTCACCACCGTCCTGTCCCTTGACAGCAACATCCACGATCAGCAGCATGCGATCCTACTCATTCAAATCACATGCCGCGCCCTCGCCCGCCTCGAGCCGCTGCAAAGCACCCGCGAACTCCTTCCCCGCGTCGTCGTTGCCATGTGCACGTACTTTGAAAGCCAACACACCCAGGTACACCGCAAGTGCGCCGAACTTCTCAACGTAGCCCTGCAAGCGTGCTTGAACCTTGGCCCACACCCGTCTGTCCAACGTGTGCTGTTTTCCCTCGAAGGTAACCAACTTGACGCGCTCCATATATATAAATATATATATATATATATATATAGTGTATTTTACCCAAATTTAGACTTTTGTGGCATTCTAGCATTTGATCGAATTTAAGCTTGTACAAACTACACGATACAAAGATTGGTACATATGTGGTTTACCGAACTTTGCCGAATCAAGGGTTTCGATTGGCAGAAACTCGACAGGACGTGATTTGATTGGCTTAGGCGGTTCATTATTCCAATCTCCAAAGACATTCTGGTGACGGCTTCAGTTTCGAATCGATTTGACAATATATGTGTATATATATATATTTTGTGATTGATTTCGTTCCTGATCGGGCCAGTCAAACGTTAGAGCTCATATGATTGTTGCATTGTGGTATGCTCGTAGGTCTCTTGACACTGCGCTACCAACACGCATGGTCGTCCATTTTTTCGCTGCTCACGTCCATCGTCGGGTTCTGCGGCGAGAACGCGCACCCAGCGTTCGACTCGATCTTTTCCACCACGGTCGACCTGTACGCAGCCATGGACTCGATGCCCCAAGCCCACGATGACATGCGCAAGTGGTTTACGCGCTTCTTGACGGCGGCCACGACGTCCGTCGGCGCCGAAGTCATGCTGTCGGTCGTGCCGCTTCAGAACGACCACGGCATCGTCGAAGAGCGCGCGTGGCTCATCCCGGTGATCCGCGACGCCGCCAAGGCCGGCCCCGGCCGACTCGAGTACTTTTCGACGGCGATCTTGTCGTTGGCCAAAACGTGCGAAGCCGTGGCCCGCGCCGACTCGACCACCGCGTTGGAGTCCAAGCGCATGCAGGCCCGCACGATGCAGCTGTGGAGCCTTTTTCCGAGCTTCTGCACGCACCCTACGGACATTGCCGGCCACTTCAAGAAAATCGCCAAGACACTAGCCAACGCCATGTCGGACAAGCGGTACCCCGAACTCCAATTGCTCGTGTGCCAGGGGCTGCAGGCGCTGCTCAAAGCCGCCGCGGCCGCCGCCAAGTCGGAGGACGACGATCCGTCCGATGTGGATCAGGCGGCGCTGGCCAAGTTTGCCGCGCGGTTTCTGCCGCTGCTCATCGCGATCGTGGAAGGCCTAGATGCCGACACCGAGTCGGACCGCCTCCAGACGCTCCTGGACACGATCACCAACTACGCGACGCTGGCCGAGCCCGAGTTTGTCCAGAACGTGTTTAAGCAACTCATGCAAACGCTACTGCAAACCACGACCGCCGCCAAGAAGAGCGCCGACCCCAAAGCCCCCGCCGCCGTCGCCATGCTTGCCCAAGCGCATTTGCACATGAGCATCGCGCTGGCGCTAGTGGGCATCATCGACGTGAGCCAAGTCGCGCTCTTGTACCGCGTCGTCAAGCCATACATGCTCGACGACACGGACCCGGTCATGCAAAAGCGGTCGTACTCGGTGCTTGTGACCATTTGCGACACGCATCCCGCGTTCGCCGCCGAGCACTTGACGGACATGATCGAGTCCTTGTCCGAGTCGCTGCTCACGTGCAGCGTGCCGGCAAAGAAGATGCGCCTGCGGTGTCTGCATCAGATCGTCAGGGCCATCGTGGCCGCAGAACACCCCGACACGGCGTTCGTGCCGACGCTCGTGGGGGAGATCATGCTCTGTACCAAGGAAGCCAACGCCAAAGCCCGTGAAGCCGCCTTTGAAGTGCTGCTCGCCATGGCCAAACTGCTCGACGCCCAGGGCAACCTCATGGACTTTATCCAGATGGTGCTGGGGGGGCTGGCCGCGCGCACGCCCCACATGCGCAGCGCGTCCGTGCTGTGTCTGAGCCGCCTCGTATTTGAGTTTGGCCGCACCGAAGTGACGATTCAACAGGCCATGCCCGACCTCCTCCGCACCGTGCTCATGCTCCTCCACGAAAAGGCGCGCGAAGTGATCAAGAGCGTCATCGGGTTCCTCAAATTGGGCATCGCCATCTTGCCCAAGGAAGCCCTCGTCGAGTTTTTGCCGTCGATCGTCAACGGGTTGCTGCAGTGGATTGGCGAAAGCAAAGCTCGGTTCCGTGCCAAAACCAGGTATGTACAGTGTTGTGACATTATGATATTTGGTGAAATCGCTATATCAAAGCACACTGGAACTTCTGATTGGCTGAAAATATACATGTCCTTTCTGTAAAGCCAATCAGATCCACTTAAAATTGGAGTAGCCAAGAATACCCTCGATTTGGGATTAGATGGGGGTCTGTCCCGCTTCCACGATATTATTATTATTCTTGTTGTTCTGGGCTTTTAATTTTGGACCTTTGTCGTTTCTACTGGGAGGGATGTGTTCCACAGTATATATACATCTAATTGTGGTTGGTACGCTGGTGTATTTAGAATGTGTTATTATATTTGTGTGGACCTTGTTTGATACAAACGAGTGGTTAATAGGAATTTTCTTTTTTTTAATACTTTTTATTGACTAGAACGATCATGATGAAGTTGTGCCGCAAGTTTGGCTACGAGTACGTGGCGTCGCTGGTGCCTGAAGCCGACCGCAAGCTCATCACGCACATCCGCAAGACAAAGGAGCGCGAAGACCGCGAGAAGGAGCAAAAGCGCGAGTCCCGCGGCCAAAAATCGTTTGAAGAGTTTATGCAAGACTCGGACGACGACGACAGCGACCACGAAGGCGGTGCCGCTACGACAAAGTCGTCCAAGGGCAACGACGCCGTTGCGCAGCAACGTCCAGCCAAGAAAATCAAAACGGCGAACGGCGCGAGCAACTACATCAAGGAGAACGCCGAGGAAGATATTGTCGACTTCCTAGATAATGCTGCGTTTAAGAACATCGTGCCATCTCGCAAAGCCAAGCGCGTCGAGTCGGATGACGAGTTTGAAATCGCCAAGGATGGCCGGTACGATATATATATATATATATATATATATTATAATGCCAGCAACTGGTCGAGCAATTGTATTTGATTGGTTTTGTTTGGTGCTTTTGCGTAGCATGATCATCCCGGGCATCCCCGACGACGACGACGACGACGACGCGATGGGCGACTCGGAGGACGAAGACGCGGTCCGCCGCGATGTTCAGAAGAAACTGGCCAACATGGGCCTGGACAAGAAGCGGAAGCGCGACGCCGCGCCCGCCGGTCCCACGGCCGGCAACGAATACCGCGCCAAGAAGGCGTCCGGCGACGTCAAGAAGCAGGGCAAAGTCGACCCGTACGCGTACATTCCTCTGGACCCGAAGCTCATGGCCCGCCGCAACAAGCACAGCGCCGTGTCCAAGTTTAGCAAGACTGGCCGCGTGGGCAAGCAGCGAAAGTAACGTACTAGTCGCCACAGTGAGCCCTTAATTCTATTTCCCAACCCTACACTATCCACACGTTTGGTTTTTACGAGTCCTCGTGGATATATATATATATATATGGCGATAGAATGATGGGTCTTTTTAGGTCCAGATGTACTACTATTAATAGTACTACGTAGAAATAGTTAGTTACCTGTACAGTACTTACTAGTATAAGCTTACTACAGTATGTACTTCCAGTACAGCCACCACCCGTCAAAGTTAGAGAGTTAGAGCATCCCCACCAAAGGGCTACAAGTAGTTATAGAATACTATTACCGTTATGGTATACTTCGTACCTGTAATACTACT